CGCCCGTGGCAGTTACCGGCAGGCCTCCCCTCGACCCGCCCTTTTTCATCCCGCGACCCTCCACCCCCATTTCCGCTGCAGCGCCCAGCCCTTCCCGACTGTCGGCCTCCGCCTCCGGCCGCTCCCTTCCGAACCGTCGCTCTACGACTCCGCCCGCATTTTCGCTGCCTCGCGTCCTCCTTGTCCCGCGCCCCTACACTGCCGCGCCGTTTGGGACCCGCCGCCTCCGCGCTGGTTTCTGCTGGGCCCGGGGGCGTCACGCTGGGCCCTTTGCTTGCTTTAAGGTTATAGAGATAATTCTGAATTACCTGAGGCAGATCAGCTCACTGATGATATCACAGGGCCATCGCCCTTTCAGAACGGAAAAAAGTCGGCCTTTTTTTTCTGCCTCAGGTAATTCAGAATTATTATATATATGCAAGGAAAATGAGCCCCCAAGGACGCGGCTTCGGATTAGAATAGCTGGGAGATGTACCGGTGGTTTAAACTTTAAACTGTAAATGATGATTATGAATCTTCATCTGCAGGCTTAAACTTTAAACAAATGATGGTAGATGTGTATAGATGTGTATGATGAATATAATGTTAAAGATGTCTACGAGTGCCTCTCTCGCAGGATTGCACCGAGTGTGATCTATAGTGACCTCTGTGGTCTTCACGGTCTCCGTTTTCCTTGGGTGATTGTGGTTGTTATGGCTTGGAGCAGGCAATGCAGAGTTCTATGTGAGCAGGGGCCTCCCTTTCGTGATGGGCACAACCGGCGGGGATCGGGACAAGCTTATGGAGACTGTGAGGAAGGCAGGGACGTATGCGGTCATTGCACCTAATATGGGAAAGCAGGTATGTATGTCTGAAAGAAAGAAAAAGAAAAAAAAACTGGCCATTGGGAGATGGGCATTTGCGTCGTTTGGGGGAAAAAGAAAAGGCGGGAGGCTCGCAATGGTACCCAGTCCCTCAGTGACCCTCCGCCCCCCGAACTTCAGAGACCATCATTGCTGTTATTTGATCTGCTGCAGTTGTGGCATCCGAGTATATCATGTTTAGAACTGCAGAGACCGTCATCGCTGATCTCAAACAGTTCTTAAGGGTTGTAGGGTAGTGGATATCCCATAAAATTATTGCATCCCTCGGGATTCGATCAATAGTCAAAAAATTGTACATCATTGTCGAACCTTGTGTTTTGTAAAGTGCCTGCAATTTAGCGTCGTCAAAAATTTCGATTACTTGACAGCGGGGGGCAGGTAAATAGGACGTTAGCATGATTGTTGTATACGGGCTCCCTTCCCACTCCCACCCCCTGGTCAGCTTTTTCTGCGCCTCCAACCCCTTCCTTTTTTTTCTTTTTTTTTTTGGGGCTCAGGGGCCATGCTTATGTCCTCGGTATCGTCGTTGCAATTTTTTTACGGATGTCCCGAAGGACTAAGACTCTCCCTTTGGGCAAAAAGAAAAGAATATATTTGATGGATCAGCACAGTCCGCAGATGTTTCTCCTCATCATCAGTTTGACGTGATTGCTGTCAATTCGGGCCATGCACTTGCAGCTAGTGGCTTTTCAGGCAGCAATGGAGATTATGGCGGCAAACTTTCCGGGAGCGTTTGCTGGCTACACAATGAAGGTTAGTTATCCTTTACTTCCTTTCTCTCCCCCCCCCCCCAAAAAAATAAATGAAAGGTCGTTGTAGTCCTGGCTCCATGTCCATTCGGGGGAGCAGCAGTCCGGTTCCTACGTTTCTTTTTTTTTTTGTTTATCATTTGATGAAAATAACTTGAAACTTGAAAACAGTTGGAAAAACCCAGCCTCTTCTATCGTTGCCCTCGTAGCCTTTTGATCTGAAAAACGACAGCTCTCCAGCCTCACCCCCACGACACATCTCATGTAAAGTCCTATCCAAGGGTTGTTTGCTGAATCCGTTGTTGGCATCTAGCGGGCATTTTCTCCGCCAAGTGAATACCGTTGTCCTTCCTTCGTCGCTATTCTGCATGCTAGAGTGGAGACCCGCCCACGGTTCACCTGTCACATTTCTATTCATTACCAATTTATTATATTCTCCGATATACTTTCCTGTTTATCCGGGCGGCCCAGACTAGCTCTCACTGTGTGGGTACACACGCATGCACGCACTGTCCAGGAAGGAGCCACACAGTCCAGCCAAAGAAAAAGAGGAAAAAAAAAGCAAAAAAAACGTAAAGTTGCAAACACACTTTTTGCTGGAGGTCACCACGTAATTCCTTCCTAGTTTCATCAGGAAAAAAAAAGGAAAATGAGATTGAATCATTGAACTCAGTTTTAATTTTTAATTAAAAAAAAAAAAAAAGATATAGTACTGATTTTGGAAGCTGGAACCCATTCACACATATTTACAGTACTCAAACTAACCTTGTAATAGTTTATTCCCCCCCCCCCCCCCAGCGCCCCCTGTGTTCCTTCCTAATTTCAGCAGGAAAAAAAAAAGGAAAATGAGATTGAACTCGGTTCTAATTTTTAAAAATAAGATATACTCATTTTGGAAGCTCGAACCCATTCACACCTATTTACAATTTTACAGTACTTAAACTAACTTTGTAATAGTTTCTTCCCCCCCCCCCCCCACCCCACCCAGCGCCCCCTGGACGACCCGTCATGGAATCGGAAGATAAGTCCACGTATGGACTGCTCTGGTCATGATGCACGATCCTCGGCTGAAGTGAGGTCATTTTTGGATGCCTCGTCCTGACCTGCCCGGTTTTGCTGGGTGGGTCTTCCCCTGCCCACCTGGCCCTGTTTTCCCCGCCAAGCGGGAAAACAGACTTTCTATGTTGTGATTGGCATGGTTATGATTATTAATTTATAATTCTTTACGCAAGTTTGTCGGGAACATCATTCAAAGATTGATGTAATTGTGGGGTTTAACAGGCAGTGGAGTCTCATCAGAAGACAAAGGTGGACACGTCGGGTACTGCCAAGGCCATTGTTGGATCCTTTCAGCGACTGGGCCTCGATTTCGCTGTGGATGAGGTATTATTGAATACTTGCTCACTCTCTTCTCCCCTCTTCTCCTTCTCTCCCGCCTCTGTCCGCTTTCTCTCTCCCCCGCTGCTCCTTCTCTCCCTCCTTTTTGTTCTCTTTTACTCTCCCTACTCACTGCGCATTGCTTTGAATCCGTCGGTTTCTCTCCCTTCTCCAAGTCCCGTCCAGGCCCCCTACCTTTCTCTCTCCCCTCCAAAATCGTGCCAATTTTATTATATTTCATATTTTCTATAAAACATCGACGATCGTCGTCGGGCTGGAGGACATTTCACAAATCCATGGTTAGGGTTATAGTAAAGATGAGAGGTGTTCGGCCAGAGGGTATAGAGCTGGGCTAGGATTGCTTTTTTTTTAAAAAAAAGAAAAAAAAAAGGATTGCATTTTGGGCACACAGCTGCGTTACGAGAATCGGATTGTTTCTTGCTCTCCCAGGTATTTTGTTTTTTCTTTTTAACTTTTTGTTTTTAATCATTTTTTACTCTCCCAGCTTTCCCTGTCCATGTTCTTGCCCCCCCCCCCCCCCCCCCCCCCCCCCCCCCCCCCCCCCCCCCCACACACACACACACACATAAGAAACTCAGCTTCAATACCAGCCTACTGCTGCAGGGATAGCTGCTTGGTACGAGGACTGTTGATTCTTGCTTTCTGGCGTCCATTTTATAAGGCACTGGTTTGGATAGTCCGCAAAAAAATGAAAAAAAAAAAGCTTTTCAGTTTTCAGTTTTAAGTTTTGACCTTTTACCGTCTTAGTACAGTTTTACAGTTTTTAACTGACATTTGTGATGTGGCACGGATTGAATTTGCAGATCGAGTTGGTGAGGGATCCGAAAGAGCAAGTGGAGAGGATGCATGTTCCTGAAGAGTACTTGGACGGGCATGCGTTTCACACATATCGGCTAGAATCTCCAGACAAATCGTACGGCCCTTCAACCCATTAGTCTTCTTATCTTTTGGTGCTCTCTCTGTCTCTCTGTCTGTCTCTCTCTCTCTCTCCCTCTCTCTCTGTCTCTCTCTCTCTCTGTCTCTCTCTCTCTCTGTCTCTCTCTCTTCTCTGTCTCTCTCTCTCTGTCTCTCTCTCTCTCTGTGTCTCTCT